ATGTACTAAAGAGGAGTAACATTCAAAGCTGAGAAAATAAGGTGTGCAGAAGATACATGAAGACTGTGATGTGATGGTGTGTGTGCGCATGTGTGTGCATGTTTGTGTTGATATATAAACATCTCTACTTACTCTGCTTCTGTTGTGGAGGAGAGGGGATTTTTTTACCCCAAATATATGTCTTATCGGTCCAACTAGATCACAGACTTGTCGCGGAGAAATGGTCTCCCATTTCCCTCTGCTCCTTTCCAGGAGGCAATACATACACATTTGCCACCACCTGGGCCTCCCCTGCACAGCACCACCTGATCCAGTACCTCAGAAAGAACTGACATTAAAATCATTATTGTGAGTTGAAATACCTGTTAATCCAGGGAAGAAACATTTCTAGTTAGTGAAAATAGATATAGGAATAAACCTGATAGAAGTCCCAGATAATTAGGACATACAGTACTGGGGGAAATATAGTAACATTACCAACAATTCTTTTTAACCCAGACTCTCTCCAATAGGGGGAAGTAAATAAGGCAGGAAGGTGAGCTGCAACATAAATCAGCCAACTGTCATATAAATTTTCTTCTTTAATATAACAGAACTTGAGAGAAACCATTCAAGTTACTACAAAGAAATATTTAAAAAGAGCTCATTAAATGCAAATTAAAACAGAAACACTGAATAAGCATTGGGCCACAATTAAAGGCTAAAGAAACAGCAGGTAAGAAACAATTTTCATTGATCAAAGAACTAAAAGCTAACAGAATAGACTATTCTCCATTGAAACTGCTTTCATGAATATGAAGCATTTCGAAGTAAGGAGATTTTTTTTTCCCCATTTTTCAAAGAAGCTTTGGAGGTAGAAATGGATCTGCATATCTTAATACAAAGTACTTTCATTGTATCATTTTCAAGCAATGAAGCTCTGAGATTTCAAAAAAAAAAATGTAGACTTCAAAAAAAATCCTTAATTCATTCCAAAATTGTAAAGGGCATTAGGTCATGATTTTAGAGCCTTTGGACCCAAAGAACTGTACATAATTACAGAAAATAGTCTCTGCAAAGATTCAGTAGAGTTTCCTTTATGACATAAATGTACCTCACCAAAAATAGAAGCTTTCAGAGCCTATGAGTACTTCGATGTAGGGTTACTTTTTATCTAAAATTATTGAAATGGCAAAGCAAGTATCAGTACATCACAATCAACTAAAAATATAAACTCTTGAGACTTTAAAATTCACCTTATATAAGCTTTAAAACAAATATATAGATTTGTAGGCAAATAGCAAATTAGACTGCATATTCATGATAGCATGGGCATTTTTTTTTCTATTTCATTCAGTGTATCCCTGGCACCTGGAGTAGTACTAAGCACACAGTATGTGCCCAATTACTGGATCTGTTTTCATGAAAATAAAGCAATATAAAATGAAAAATGAAAGGGTTTTTCCCTCATAAATTCATTTTAAAAATTTAAATATACTGTTTTTCACTCATCAAGAAGGCAAAAATAAAAGTATTTTGTGGTACACAAGGAGTAAATGTGCATTCTTATAAACACTGCCAGGCAGAGCAGAGCCACCAACCATAGTGCACCAACCAGGTTTAGTGCACTGCTCAAAGGAATTAAACTTGGGGGTGGGATGGAAAGAGGCAGGGAGAAAGGAAAAACCCAGTAGGTGCTCTGCTGATGGACAGTGTGAGTCAGTCTTGGGGAGGAGGTCTTCTTGAAATTTTTCTGTCCTGAGGAGTAACAGCAGATTTTGCTACCTTGTTGCATTAGATAGAAATATAAAATATGGTGACCTACTTTATAACAATTTAGAAATACCTAGAAAAATTTAAAATCTACTAATCCTTTGACTAGAAAATCCACCCAGAAATTGAACTAAGATTTTTACTTTACATATATGCTTACATATGCAAATAAAAAGACAGGAACACAAACATTTCTGATGATAGCAATCTATAAACCTACTGAATGCTCATTTATTGAAGACTATTTGTATAATTTGTGTACATCCACAAAAATAAGAGAAGGCAAGAATTACTATGGGGTGGAGTTATATAGGTGGATATAGGTTTTTTCCTAAGAGATAATTTAAACAACATACAAATGTGACCATGTTCTAATTGTTATTTTTTTTTAATAAAAAACCTTTAAAGAGTGAGACACTGAATTTGAATTTCAATACTGGCAACACTGTTGTATACAGATCCCCACACTTTAATATCTGATACTACTCATTACCTAAATCTAGTTCTATAGGAATTAGGATATACCACAAATATCACTATTAAAATTCAATTTTAAATTGCTAATTTTTAAAAGAGTGAAAATGTTTTAATGATACCAAAAATTATATTTTTCTAAGTAGAATTTTCTTATGCCTTTCTATTGTGCTTTATGATATCCTGATGTCCTACTCCATACTTCTCAAAGTCATAATCAAACTATGTTTCTATGACTGTCTGGGCCAGGCATTTAACGTATCAGTCATAATTCAAGTGAGAAATATAAGTACTTTTGAGGCAGTCTCTGTACCAAGAAGGAATCCTAGGTTTTAAGAACAAAAAAGGAAGGTTAATTCTACTCGTGGTGGGGTAACAATCAATCCCCTTTACTCCTATTGTTGTTTTTCCTCAAAAGTAAGCCAAGATTTATGTAAAATGGAAGAGTACTATTTGCATTAAAGAGGGTGTAGCAATTAAAGAGAGCACAAGCATAAAACAGGCAAGTTCTGAGTAGCACAATGTCTTTAACAGGAAAAAAAAAACAATCCCAGATATATACTGATGTATATTTTGATCTCCAGCCTATTACTTAGGTATAAACAATAATGCCTTTCCTGGCTCTGAGGTTTATTCACAAACAGGAAACCCATCACTCTAAAACTCCTTTTTAATTGCCTCCACTTTCACCTACCTTTCCACACACTGTCTTCACCAATACAAGTCCAAAATTGGCAATTAAGATTTTTATCAAAAAGTGCCCACCAACAGAATTAGGCATTGCAATTACTTGTATAAAATAATGTACTGCACATTGTCCACATGGTTTTTATATGTAAAGTACCTTTCTTGGGATGGGGCATGTTGTACTTATGTTGTAATACACATTTATTTGCACTATGTAAAACAACAACTGGTGTATAAGAAAAAAACACCTTTTAAAATCTACCTTATATTCTCCATGTAATTACAAGTTACTAATAACTGTCTAATCATCAAATCCAAAGATCATACTCTTCCGTCTTATGTCCCTAAGTCCCAAATAAACTAAATTCCCTAAACATAGTTCATCCTACCAAAGTTCTTTTTTTCAAAGTTCTTATATAGTCATTTATTAGATAACAATTTAGAATTGTGATTTTTAGATCTTAAGTCCATATCTTTATATAGCTTTACTATAAACTTGCTTCTCTTAAGAGCATGCATGCACTAAATTAAGTTGAATTAAAATAAAATTTTATAATTGTCTTCAAATAAAATATATTTTTTTTCTGTAAAATGCTGACATCATGGATTTTTAAAGATTTCTTCTATTAGTTTTTCTGATTCCATTCAGAGCTGTTTATAGTGGATTATATGTAAAAGTTGGGTTCAAAAGATTCATAAAAGTTTATATAAAAAATTCATTTATAAGAAAAATGTCTTCATTGGATGACTTTCAAAAGTCATTCACCAAAAGTCATACCGTGCTAGAAAGGTGAGAAAAATTGGACAACATCCCTAGGTTTTATCATTGCTGCAAAGACAGCATCAGTTAATCACTGGCATGATTGTCTCTCTGGGTAGAATGTTTTACGTTTTAACGTTAATTTTCCTAAATAAAAGACTTAAGACTCTATCAGTGCATACAAACTTACGTATTTTAAAAATCCACTTCTCATCTTTCTGGACTGACCATTTCTGACTTCAGATGCACTCGATGCAATCAAAATTGTTATTTAAGTGGTACTCATCAGGAATAATCTCCAAATAGGGTCACTAAATCTTCCATACACAAACTAAAGTAAGTCTCTGTCATAATAAACGCCCCCAAATAACATTGGTTTCTAATCATACTGTGTATTTCCACTCATTTCAAAGACTGCCGCGAAGGGGGGGGGGGCAGGAGGAGGAGGGGGGAGGAGGAGGGGGAGGGGGAGGGGGGAGGGGGAGGACGAGGGGGAGGACGGGGGGAGGGGGAGGAGGAGGAAACTTTCGGCGTAACACCCTAGAAGGGAGAAACTCTGCTAAACTTACTCATCACAGTGTTTATAAACAATTACCACAAACCATTTCCAAAGCTTTCATCATAAATATGCACCCAGGTCATTTTGTGTCAACTAATAATTCATGATGCAAATATTTAATCCTTGTTATTCTCTACTCTAGATTCTTTCATCTCAGACCTACTAGGAGAGATTTACAAGGAAAAATCGAGGGAGCGAGAGGTTTAAGTTCCTCTGCAGGAATGTCTCTGAATCCTAACCATCCCGGCAGGTGCCTTCCGCTAGAGCTGAAAGCTTTGGTATAGGGTTTCCCCGCAAAGAGTCCTACAGGCGGCGGGTCCCATCCGTCCCTAGCGGGGAGGCAGCCCCCGAGGGGCGGGGGCGGGGGCGGGGGTGCACGTGAGGGGCCTGCAAACCGACCCCCGAGTCCGGCGCGGCGCGGCGCGGGCGCGGGCGGGGCGGGGCGGGGCGGGGCGCTCGCCGTGGGAACGCGCGCCCCAGCCTCCACCTCGGGAGGCGCAGGCGCGCACGGCGGGGTCCCCGGGGAAGTTGTCTCCAGCGGCGAGCTGTCCGAGCTCGGGCTGGGCGGGGGCTGAGCTCACACACACTTATTCCCCCGGCCCACGGCGGGCACCGGGAAGCGCGCAGCGCGGGCCGAGGGCCGGCGGACACGGCCGTCCTGACACTGACAGTTGACACCGGCCGACACCCGGGGGGCGGGGGGGGCCCTGTCCGCCGAGGCCCGGCGAGGAGGCGCAGAGAGGCTGTACCTGGCAGGTACTCACGTACCTATCATGGTCACTAGGCAGGTGGAGGCTGCTGGGCACGCAGGGGGCTACGCCCGCACCGGCGCCCTCCCGAGCCTCCCACAAGTGTGGCTCCGGGGTTAAATCTTCCAGCACCTGCCTCCCTGGGGCCGGCTGTCGGAATGCGCACGCGCGGACGACGCGCAGCCAGGGGCCTTCTGGGAGTCGTAGTTTGACAGCGTAGTTTCTCCCATCGCGCCGCCCCCTCCCCGCCCGCCGTCGGCCTTCCGCCCGCCGCCTTCCGCCGCCTCTCCGCATTCAGGCCCCGGAAGCGTGCTACGTCACGGGGGGACTGGGCCACTGGGCCGCAGTGTTGACGCGTCGCTTAGCAACCGGGAGGCTTACCTTTGGAAGCTTCTTACGGCTCTCGCCACGGTCCTTCCCTCCTCCCGCCCCTCCCCTCCGTCAACTCCCCTCACCTAGGAGCTGCCAAACATCTGGATCAACCTGGGCACTACGAGGGGTTGAATTTCTACCAGTAACGCGCCTTTTTACATCCCCCCCCCCGAACTCCTTCTCACATGCGTAAAACCCAGTGATTCTTTTACTACACGTTTTATGAGAACGAGACATTTTCTAGGAAGATGGTGGCAGAAAAAGAGACCCTGAGCTTAAACAAATGCCCAGACAAGATGCCGAAGAGGACCAAGCTGCTGGCGCAACAGCCGCTCCCGGTGCACCAGCCTCACTCCCTGGTTTCTGAGGGCTTCACAGTCAAAGCCATGATGAAAAACTCAGTCGTAAGTGACCCTGCATTGAATATGCACTCGCTCCGGTCAGGGGACAGCAGGCGATAGCTGCTGGCCGGCCTGGGATGGATCCTGAATCCGTGTCCTGGGGGGTCTGCGGCACCGAGGGGGGCGCCTCTGCAGACGGCGCCCAGCAGGGTGAGGAGGTCCTGGCTGGGGTGTCAGGAAGGATCCTGGGCACGTGAGGCACTCTTACCCACTGACAAGCGCCTTGCTCCTAACTCATGGTTTCTAGACCACGCCAAGGTACTCTTAAAACTATTGACACGTTTTTTTTTTTTTTAAGAGCCTCTTTACGTATGGATTCCTAATCGAGCCCCCCTCAGCAAAGGTCCTTCTAGAAGGCGAGTTCTTAGAGATCATAAGCTCTTGCAGAATTTGACATGTGCTGATGTACACCTGGAAGCATAAACTCGTTAAATCGTCCACAGTTAGGAACTCTCATCAGTTCAAACGAAGGAATTTTAGAGCATCCCTGCGTTGACCCTAACAAGCCTCTTTCTTACAAAATAATATCAGCTTGTTAGAGTTCGGATAGGCAATGTAACAGGAAGGTCTATTTCCAGACCTTTTGAATGATGATAAGTTTTAAACAGTCCAAGCCTTAAGTTCAAGTATTTCTAACTATTACTATAATTTGTATTTTGATGTCTATTACTTGTGGTAGCAAAAATAAAATATTCTCAATACTATGGGGGGATGGTTTAAAATGCACACAAGTGATTTAGCTACAAGCAGGATAGTTTAAAAAAAAAAACAACTTTCATATTTGTTAAACAGCTTTAAATTTGGTATGCTAAGCCAGGTTTTACTACTGACTGACTAAGCAAACCCCTGTCTGGGAATGAGATATTAATAATAAATGCAGCTTTCAAATTTATATAAGTTACACTCTGGGAGCATCTGACTTATTGTATAGCAGCTCATTATGTTAAATGAATAGTGTTGCTTTACAGTATCACATTATTTCTTTTGCATAAATGTTGCAAGTCTAATACCTTATTCCAAAACCCCATCCTTTACCTATATGAATGAAACAGATTACCTCCAGATCCCTAGGTCATATCGCCGTATCAGTACACAAAATGATATTTGGATTATTGGATTGTGTGTCAGTTGATTTACAATAGTGAAAATTTGTGCAAATAGACTAAAACTCCCGCTTGCTACAGTTGCAATCTTTTTGCATGTTTTTCACGTGAATAGGTGGTCATAGGAGTCAAGATGACTCGTTTCTCAGCAATATAGAATACCATGACCATTCAAGCTAATTGTTTTTTATTCTACACAATATTTCTAGTTATTATCATGGTCATTTTTTTCAATTTTATATCTGTTCAAGGAGAAAACGGGTCAGATTCTCTCTCTTTTCTGAATCTATGTTTATAATCATGTTTATTTTTTTAACATAGCCTTATACCTAAAGCCATAGTTTCCTGGAAAATTAAGTATTCCAGTATTACCAGATGTAGTAAATATGCTTACAAAACTAAAATAACAAAAAACATTGACCATGAAGCAGCCTTCTTTATAAACAATTTATCTGAGTTAAATATCTTCTTATTTTTGTGCTTTTAGAAAAAGTCTTAGTGTGGTATCTGTATTTCCATGAAGATTCTCAAGACAGGTTATGTCATTCCTTCACTTCATTTAGTGGGAAATTGCAGTTCATAAATGCAAGCGTCATCTACTCATTCAGCAACTCTATCTCTCTTAGTTTTGTTTGTTTGTTTGTTTGTGTTAGCTGAGCTAAGAACTTGCTAACACAGACACAGTTCTGAAGATTTGGGATCAGCAAAACAAACTCCCGATCCTTAGTACTCCAAGGAAAACTAACACAAGATACTGTTTATACAAAAGAACTTTACTCGTATAGGAAATAAAACATTTCCTTTTTATATACAATATTCACATTTCACCATTTCTGTCTTCAACAGTATAAACCTTTTGGCATTAAAAAGTCAAAACAGCTCAATCTCTTTTTTTAAGGCTTATTTCTATTCAGAAAATAATGTGCCAGTCTCCAGCTTTTCTTAATCACAACCCCTGTCCCAAAGCTGATACCCAAATCATATTTCCAGTGTTGGGGCTCACCTTCAATTGCCTCTTTCAAACACTTCCTAATTAAACAAGTCACCATTCCAGTGTACTTCCACAACAGACATACACAGCTAACCCCTAACGAGTTCTGTGGGCTCTCTTGGTGTTTCTGTGAGAGTGCTCTAGTAACATAAATGTATACACTTGATAATAAACAGATTAGATCGGGTGGACTATACAAACAGAAATCTCTATTTAAATAGTCATAGTCTGTGTATAAGAATCAAAAAATTATAAAATAATAAATAAACACAAATGGCTAGTTTTTAAGACCTAATGTCAAATATTGGTCTTCCTTTACTTCCTTGAAATTGTTGTTGCATTCTGTATGACAACAAACATGGATAAAAATCCCTGAAATCAGAGACTAATATCCAAATTCATGTTGTTACATTTGCCTAAAAAGAATTATAAGACATATAGAATTTGAAGATTTCATAGTCCGTTTTCCCTTTATAGACCTTGTTTCATGGTATGTTAGAACTTACAACCAGAAACCAGTATGTCAGTGTTGTATTGATTTAATCTCAACTGACAGTAGATAATTTTTGTGCTAATACACATTAGCATAAAGCAAGTTAAGATATGAACCCAAACTGATGATGATACAGAAGTCGACTTCACCTGAAGCTTTATACCATAGATTTCCTTTTCAATAGACTATAGATGTTTTATGTTCAAAGTTTAGGGGAATGGGAGAAATATTTCCTTAATACATTATTTATATAGAGATGTTTATACTTACCGATCAGATATTCATTCAACAGATAGTGGTAATGGTCAATATTTATAGAGTATGTATTAAGATACCTATTTGGCTGCTATAACAGAGACCAAATAACGTTAGTTTAACTAAGATGGTAGTTGTTTCTGTTACATATAAGTCCAAGTTTGTTGGGCACTGCTTGTATATTCTTGCTTTATGTCCTGTAGGGTGATGCCCTGGGTCAAGGTGGACTCACCACTACCAGGGTCAAATTGCTACCCCCAGAAAGAAGGAAAGAAGAAACAGAGAGCTTCCTTTTAGAGGCATGGCCCAGACACTGCAGCCTACTCTCATTCACATCCCACTGGCCAGAATTTGGTGATAGGCCTACATTTTCCCTTTTTATAAAACCCTATGAAAAATTGACCCTTGAAGGAAATCCCAGTCCCTATACCTCTTTTATTAGGAAAAGGACTAAGAAAGTCATATAGTTGCAAAAGGACATAATCTCCAACACCTACTTCAGGCATGGGGACAGAAAAATGGGTAAGGAGCAACCTATGAGAAGATATGGGAAGAAATGGAGACAAGCAGCTTCATTAGGAATGCATGTCCCCAAAGTAGCACTTGTCTCTTCTGTTCATATCCATTGCCAAAACTTAGTTTATGACCACATCCAGTTGCAAGAGAGGCTGGGAAATGGAGTCTCTGACTGGTAGCTCTATGTGCAGCTGGAACTTGAAGCATTTTATTAGTGTAATAAAGGGAAAAGGGAAAATCAGTGGGTGATTAGAAGTGTCCACCACCAGTGCTAAATATGCTCTATTGCTAGTAAAGAAAAGGAAACAGACAAGTAAGATAATTATAGTACCTGTAAATACACCTCTATAGTAAGGCTCACAAATACTGACTAAGTAGAGTAGAAGTACTAATGATGAGGGGATCAAGTGATAATAAACTAATTGAGATCCTCATCACCTTTTGTCTGGGTTCTCACGATATCACCCAAACTGGTCTCTAACTTCCATCCATCAATTGGTTCTTTGCTTCAATCATGTATCAGTATTATTACATTCATCTTTCCAGTACATTTCCCTCTCATCAATGGTACCTCCACAGGATCAGCAAATTCTTCTGTGATGTAACCCTACTCTAAGGTTTTCATTTCATCTCCTGCTATTCTCATATCCTTCCACCAAATTTAACTCTAAGACTTCCTTTTTGTGATTTTACTTATATTGTTCCCCTTACCTATCTGCACACCCAAGTTCATTCAGACAGTATGTAACAAATATCTAGTGATCACTGAGTGTGCCAAGCACTGTTTTGGGTACTGGCAGTTGAGAAGTCTGGAAAAGGCAAAACCCATGCTGTTCAAGGAGCTTTCATTTTTGTAGCCAGCTAAAATGCCAACTGCTTCAAGACGACCTTCTACTTCTCCCTCTTTATCAACCAAGATGGAAAGTTGTCCTTAGCTCATTGTTTTCTACTGTGTATTATAGTTACTCTGGCTCATGTTCTATCTCCTATAAATTCCCTGGGAGTG